TGAAGAGTGGCCCCCGCTTGCCACAACTAGAGAAAGCCCTCGCACAGAAACGAAGACCCAATACAGCAAAAATAAATTAATAAACTCCTACCCCCAACGTCTTCTTAAAAAAAAAAAAAGAAGTCTGGAGGTAGATGGTTACAGCCCTTAGTTCAGGTATTCTGCAATACCACCAAAATACCTTCCATCTTTCCTTTCCACCATCTTTAGAGCATTAGCCATTGGCCCCAAGGCTCACTCAGTCTCATGTTCACTGTAACGATTTTTAATTCTCACCTTAAAATCTCAGCAGCCAAGATTTTGTCAAGCTTTACTTTTTGAAATATTTCAGGTCAGCTCATACAACTCACTAATTTCACAGATGGGGAAATAGAGAGATTTGCCCCTAGCGAGCTAGCAGAGCTAATTAGTTAAACCAGTGCTCTTTCCATGAGACTAATTTAGTGGAGACTCCAAGTTGCCCACCAAAATCTGTTCTCCCATTCTTTCTTGGCTTGATTACATTTCTCAGCCGCCTTTGCAGGTTAGGTGTGGCCACGTAACTAAATTCTTGCCAAAAGTAAGTGAGCAAAAGTATGTGTGCCACTGCAGAGCCCAGGCCTTAAGGCATCTGGCGTGCCTGCTCCACGCTTTGTCTCCTTCCCACTGGCTGGAACCAGAGATGAGCCAACTTTAACCAGGCAGGTGTTGACAATGCCCCCCAGAGGGTGGAGAGGCAACATGATACAGGGAATCTGTGTCCCTGAATGACCGCTTAGAGTGGAGCTGCCCCACTGACCTGGACCGCTCACTTCGGAAATGTTAACTCCCCTCAGAGTTGTTATGTCAGGAGGAAACAAACTTCTCTGTTCTTTAAGCCACTGTATTGTTGAGTCTCTTTGTTACAGCAGCTTAGCCTTTTACCCTAATACAACCAGGCAGCGTCCTTTGTACGTATTCAAAATAGCTTTACCAATGACCCTTTAGCCATCTTTTCAGAAAACAGCCCTAACCACCCAAGTAGGTGATAATCAAATAATGAAATTCCTTCCTGTGGCTACTATCCCAAGATTTCTTCATCTTAGTTAAAAGCTATTTAACAATTAAAGCAGATTATTTATGCAGAAAAATCCACTGAACTGTGAGGCTTTCACACAACTAATTCAACAAATATTTGACTTTCTAGATGCTGGGGATATAGAGACAGGTTACTGCGTTCATAAAAGCTTACTTTCTATTGTGTTTTTTTTTTTCTGTTTGTTTTTATTGTTGTTGATTTAATGTTGTGCTGAGTGTTTTAAGCAGAAAAATCTTCTTTGTAGAATGTGGGATTGAGGCTAAGAACATAAATAATTACTGAGAATTACAAAGGCTCAAACCATGTACCTAGACTATAGATGAAATGTTCTTTTGCTGAGCTCTAAAAAACAAGCAAAGTATTTTAAAGACTAAGAATCCACCTCTCTTTCTGGAGTCAAAGTATTTCCTACCTACTTAAAACAGCATTGTCTGAACTACAAGAAGTGTCTAAAGTCTAGTCAAGATTTCTGCTTTATCTGTCAATTATCTCTCAATAAAACTGAGGGGAAAAGGTTTTTACTGACAGAGGTAGATGGACCTAATAGCTTGCTGAGTGCTGGAATTAACTGCCAAAGCCATTTAGATAGCACTGCCATGGACTGGAGACTCTGGGTACCTGCACTGAAAGGCTCTGCTTGTCAAGGGATTATCTGAGGCAAGACGGTACAAAATGGCATTCCTTATCCTCACTCCAGGCTGAACAAAATGCCCAAAGCTGGCCCCTTCCTGCTCTCAAATGAGATTTGGTATGAGATTGCGCAGTTGAGTGAGAGAGGAGACCTCAGGCTTGTTCTGGCTTTGTCACAACTTGCTCTGTGGCTGTGGAACATCCACGTTTTGGGCCTCAGTTTCCCCATCTGTACAAGAAGGTGCTAAGGAGCCTTTCATCTCTACATATAGGAAAATCATTAGACAGAGCTACTCCCTTCCGTACGCGCAACAGCAAAGGCATTCAGAGGGCAGCAGGCAGAGAGGGGACATCTACCTCAAGGCAGTGCCTCAGGCCAGGGCACCAAGGAGATTCCTAGTGAGGGTTCTGCCTTCCTCAGTCCCTCTGCTGCTGGTAAAGGAATTCCATCCTGCTGAGTCTAAGAACAGGGGTAGCAGGCGCAGCCACAGTGCCTTAGTTAAATACTGAGCACTTTGATTCTTCTTTTTCAAAAAATCCCTGATTTCCAACTGCCAGAGAGATAGCAGTGAGTTAGTTCAACGAGAAGTTACTGCTCCAGGTATTTCAGATGGACGGATTAAAGGTTTTTAAGGAAGGATTATTAAAACTAGTTTTTCCTGCTTCTCCACTGAAACTTTTTTTTAAGCTTTAAAACATATTTAGCAACTTGTGTGAAGAGCATTTCAGAGACTAATGTTCCTCCTTAAAACCAGCCACCTTAACACAGGGCTCAACAGCTTGAACTCTTAATTCTGTGGCCTCGCCTCAATTCCGGCTTTGCCACTTACTAGGTGGGTGCCTTTGCTGAGCCCGTTTCCCCATTGGTAAACATGTATAGAAACAGCGTCTCTTTCCCAGGGCTGTATGAGAAGCTAATGTATATAAACTGCTTGGTCCCCCTTGGCTCACAGTAAGTATTCACCTCCACTTCCAGTGGGAAGATGCCACTTCCCACCCCATTAGCTCCTGAAGTGGTTAATAAACTGATTGGGAAAATTACACATTTAATCTAAAGAATAAGATGACGTGGATTCAATGACAATTTCTTCTCTGACCAAAGAATACATTTATTCTTGAGATTCAAATCAGTTAACGTGGCTAAGTCTCAATAAAACTCAAGGGGGCCAGGGTATCCCACAGACTGGGGGAGGAGAAGCCACTGAAGTCAAGTTGAGAAGCCCAGCTTTCCAGATCACGGGGTACCACGTGTAGTCTTGGCTTCAGACTCCTGCCCCAGCATCCTGCTGTGTCACACCTTGCACCTCAACACACACCTCCACCCACCCCCCCACCCCCACACACACTCCCACACACCAAGCAGGGGCAGGACTGTGGATTACCTGTACTCACCGTGAGTGTCCTTTCTTTATAGCCCTTACTACAGCTGTAATTATTTGATCAATGTGGACTTTTTTTGATCATTGAACTCCCAGAGTCCAGCACAGCACCTGGCACACAGTAAGTTCTAAAATATCTGCTGGCTGAATGAAAGGGCTGGCCATAGCTTAAGATTTCCTCAGAGGCTGGTTTCGGCCTAACCCTGGCACCTGAATGAAGTTCAGTATGCTTATGGCCTGTGCTCAACTAGGGGACCCTCGGGAGGGTGGTAAAGAACAGAAACAGGAGACCTACCAGAGGAGGCTGGGGAAACCCATGCACACGCAGGTACTGCCAACAGGTAAGGTAACGGATAAAGACAGTATGTGCTCTTTGTTATCTTTTGGGTAAGGGGAAGAAATAAGAATATATGTTTGTATTTGTTCATATTTACTGATACTTAAAAAAACACTTGAGAGGTATGTAGAAAAACTAATAAGTGGTTATCTATGGGAGGAGAAGGGGATGGAGGCAGGAGCGAGATTTCTCAATGAGTGTCTTTGTCTTTTTATATTATTCTGATTTTTGAAAATTGAACTATGTAAAAATATCTAGTGAAAAAATAAAACTTTTGCATAGCTAGCTCACATACATTCACAAAGAACTGCTTTTTCAGGTCCCGCAGAAATGCGCCTCCTTCCACGATCCCTCCCCTCTTCCTTCCAAAGTGAAATTCTTTACAGCTCTTACGGTCTTTGATAGTCTCTTACCCAAATTTGTTGTCTGTGTATATATAAGATATTTACAAGCTCCCTGAAAGCAAGAACCACATTTCATTGTATCTCTGTATCCCTCTAGCCTACTCTAGGGCCTCTCATATAGTAGATTCAGAACAAATAAAATACTGCTTGAGTGAGGAGTTACTGCTTAATGGGTGCAGAGTTTCTGTTTAGGGTGATGAAAACGTTTTGGTTGCACAACATAAACGCTGCTGAACTGCAAACTTAAAAATGTTTAATTTTATGTTATATTCATATATATGTATACTCACATTGCTGGTAGCTCAGGTCACTCCAATAAGAGAGCTTCAACTGGAGATAACAAATCTCCAATAAAAAAAAAGATCCTCTCCAGATGTTTTCCAGGAATATAGCAAGTGCTCAATAAACATGTGCTAAATAAACAAATAGCATATTAAGAACATGGACTTTGAGAAAAAGCACTCATGTTGAAAACAAAGCATACTGTATATAAGTTAGACATGAACATAAACATCTTTTTAAGGACTAGAGAGGTTCTTGCAAACTTTTTCTTTATTTAACTTTCAATAAAAATATAGTCTCCTAACTCAATAGAAAGATAGCAGTGATTATCACACAGGAGGAGCTCAACAAATGTCAGTCTTCAGTTTTCAAGTTCCATGTCACAACCACCTCAGTCTGATTCTCTCCGTCTCGATGGAATTCCAAAAACTGGTTTGGTTCACCTAATTATCTCACTGGGGCTGATCCTTTACTGCCATTCACCCAAATCCAGAACTCTTGAATTGTGGCTCACAATAACTCAATCATCTATACAAGTGTCCGGAAATTAGATGTTTCCAGCCAGAGTCAAGGACATAAAACTTTTTTTTAAGGGATACAGTAAATCCCAGTACTCATCACCAAAAAGATCAAATGTAAAAAAGTGTAATCTGTGCCTCTTTCAAACACAGAAACTTTAAGGTTAAAAGAAAAAAAAAAGCCCTTCCCAAACTCATTACCAGACCAGACATATCAGCCACACAGGAGCTAACAAGGCCTGCTTTTTCCATGACAGAGAATATGAGAGGTTAAAACCACACCACTAAAAAAAAAAACCCCACCAAAAAAAAAAAAAAAAAAAAAAGAAAGAAAAGAAATAAAAAAGTAAATAAATAAAACCACACCACTGAATGAAAGAACTGGACCCCCACCACCTTTGCAAAGGCCACTGGACAAGTCCCTTAAATGCTGGATTTCAGCTCTTCATCATTCTGCCCCAGGGATCCCTTTTCTTTAAGCTCTTTATCATGGTCTGGGGAAATACTCTGACTTTCTATGGTAGTGATGGCATCTGAGTCCAACCTTCTTCTTTTCTTCAGTTGGTGCAAGTGGGACTTGGATTTCATGTGTGCTAAGGCAAAACAAACAAAAAAAAATTAGGATTTTCTACAACTAATCCTGGAAGCATACAAAATTAACTATACAATCCTTTTCTTTAAGAATAACAGGATCAACACATGTACTGGTACAGCTGCTTAGCATTTTTTTTTTTTTTTTTTGGGTGCGCGGGCCTCTCCCTGCTGCGGCCTCTCCCGTAGCGGAGCACAGGCTCCAGACGCGCAGGCTCAGCAGCCACGGCCCACGGGCCCAGCCGCTCCGCGGCATGTGGGATCCTCCCGGACCGGGGCACGAACCCGCGTCCCCTGCATCGGCAGGTGGACTCTCCACCACTGCGCCACCAGGGGAGAGAAGAATAAGTCATATGGCCAGCTAGCTAGCAAACTAGCTACCACATATCACGTATACCTGCTGGGGGTTTTATATTACTAAATCCACACAACAATCTTGCGGGACAGTATTATTCAGCTCATTTTATACAGGAGGAGACTGATTTCAGAGGTCTTACATTGTGTCCAAGGTCACACAGCACGTAAGCTCTTCGGATTACCTACAGCTCAAAAAGCAAAAGCCAATTTTCCAGAATAGGGCTCCAGACAATATTCCCATATAGGGCTGACTGTTACAGATACATTTCAACTCACACGGCTCAAAAGTTACAAATCCAGGGCTTCCCTGGTGGCCCAGTGGTTAAGAATCCGCCTGCCAGTGCAGGGGACACGGGTTCGAGCCCTGGTCCGGGAAGATCCCACATGCCGCAGAGCAACTAAGCCCATGTGCCACAACTGCTGAGCCTGCGCTCTAGAGCCCACGAGCCACAACTACTGAGCCTGCATGCCACAACTACTGAAGCCCGTGCGCCTAGCGCCCGTACTCCACAACAAGAGAAGCAATGAGAAGCCTGCACACCGCAACGAAGAGTAGCCCCCGCTCACCGCAACTAGAGAAAAGCCTGCACGCAGCAACAAAGACCCAATGCAGCCATAAATACATAAATACATAAATAAATAAATAAGTTACAAATCCAAATTCTTATCTGTACTGCAGGACAGATGGCTCAGGCCTACAGTACCCAGAGCCGCCCTTCCCTCTTCCTAACCAGCTCGCTCAGGTTGCCCCTCCTGATGTGACATCCCTATGCCTGGGTCAGATAAGCCATCTGAATGACTAACCCAGATACTCGCATTCTCCAGCACACAATGCACCAGAGAGATCACAGCAAGTATTCTTTTCTGATGATCCCTTTCAAGGATCCACAGAAGCAGTAAAGCTGAAAAGCTACTATTGGCTGATATCAATTTCTGACCTCTCACCCCAAAGACAGTTCTCAGCTTCTGACTAACTCACACAAGCTCCTTTTTACCATCCTGTTCATTTTCAAGGAAATCTTATCTGGAAACACCTATAAAGATAGACAACGAGATTAAGTTCTTTTTTAAAACATCATTTTTAGGGATTTGGAAGCAAAAGTAGGTAAGGAAGAGGTTAGAAGTCAAGGAAAAGTTTACTTGAGGGAAAGTCAGCTTTGTCTCCAGCTAGCCTACGGCAAAAAGTGACCTTCTGGACTGACTCTCCATGGCAGCAGGAGATGGGAGAGCAAGGACTTGACAGATGGCACTATAGAAGGGCTTACACAAGCTATGCTCACAAAGGCTCACAAATGTTGCTTCTCCGTGGCAATCCCTGAAGGACATTCGACAAATCAAACCACTAAGTTTCCTTTAGAAAAAACAATCAGACACTCTCTTTCTCTTCCCCTTTCATCATTATGAACCAACGATAATTGAGGCTTCTTCTGCTGCTTGGGCAATCACAGCCATCCCCAGTCTCTGACAATGCAGTTCATTTTGCCAGCGTTAACAGTTAATAGAACTAATCGTTCTATTGGCTGGTATGGGGGAAAAAATCCACTTCTATGAGAATGCCATGCAAAGCAGTACTTTGAACAGGATTCCAGCCGCTGGGTAAAACACAAGCCCTGCTTGTGCCTAAAAGGAGTGAGCCTTAAACAAGTTTCTAAATACAATGTAAATTCAAGGCTTAGAGGCTAAGGCCCTTTTGAGCTTTGCTGGATTACTGCAGAAATCCGACAGGGGAGTGCAATGTGACTCTATGGCAAAGACAGATCCAGGCTCTGAAACAGGGAACTAGAACCTCGGTGCAGGGCTGTTCCTGGGTTGGTCAGGAGCGCCTTATGAAGAAGACAGTACCCTTTGACCACCGTCTTTCTGCGTGTCTACCCGTCTTGCTTTCACACAGTTTCCCTTAACACTTTTCATCACAGTTTTTGCAACCAACACCATTTCAACGTATTACCTTAAAAGTTACTGGAGAGACACCACTTTTGAAGAATGTACTCAGGAGGAGTAACTGCACTTCCTGTTCCCTCCCAGCTGTTTCTGCTCCTTTGGCCTCTTGGGTGAGTTGCCTGGCTTCCCTTACAATCCTACCTCACCCCCACTGAGGTCTAAACATGAGACCAGGAAACTACTCAGGCAGGATCATGAAAGTCAAAGGAGCTCTGGCAAGTTAACTGCAGACCTCTCAGTAAAATATCTACTCTAGCTGAAGCTAGAGGGCATATGATCTTCCTTTGAAATTGAGAATACAGAGATAACTCTCCCGTTTGAGAAGGCCTCTCCATGAAATTTGAACAAAGGCCGTTAGAGGAATCTGGTCTTTTTTTTTTTTTTTTTTTTTTTCTTCCTTTGAAATTGAGAATACAGAGATAACTCTCCCGTTTGAGAAGGCCTCTCCATGAAATTTGAACAAAGGCCGTTAGAGGAAATTTTTTTTTTTTTTTTTTTTTTTTTTTTTTTACAAACAAGCAGACTCCAGCATTTCAACCTACCAAAGACCTTAAATTTTTCATGAAGTCAGTGTGACCCACCCTTACAGCTTTCTCTATCCTAGACTCTACCTGCCCATTCACGGTCCCCAATGATGATTCGATCACAGAGGTCACACATGTGATAACTTCTCTTGTTCTCAGTTTCACTGCTTGGCATCTTTACTGGAGTAGCTGCAGGCTTGTGGCCCTGAAAAAAAAAAAGGCAGGGATGGGGGAGAAGCATTTGATTCAAAGAGATTTGGATATTATAGTCTGATATTAAGAGGAGTGAGATTTTCCCAAGATTCCTTTTTCTCATCCCAGAGAGCAGGTGGGCTGTGAAGAGATTTTAACAACAACCTTTCTGAAAGTGAAAGTAGAAATGCAGCCTCCAGGGATTTAAAAGCAGCCTTCTGCTCTATTCCACGGAAAAGAATGCTTGGTTCCCAGAATAGCAACAAAGGTGTCAGCAAAGGAAAGCTTTGTGAGAACCAGACAATAGACAGTACTATGATTAATAATCACCTGGATGAAACTTCGCACAATTTCAAGAGCAGGTTCAAGAACAGACTCTTCCCACTTCGAGACATCAGACACTTCTAAGCCATATACTGGGGGAACACTGGGACCAGGTCCTAATGATGACAAAGAAAAGTTGTGAGAGGTCAGCCTCCAAGACCCAATCTATTCTGCTCCTAGGACTCCAAAATCCTCAAGGGAAACATATGGGGTCAAAGAAATAAACATGCTGACCATGCCATTCAATCTAACCAGAAACATGAACCAAACAGCTACACACAATCCAAGAAAGACCCAGAAGGTTGGCTGGTCTGCAGCCAATAAGTCTAGCTGTATAATCCAGAGTCTCAGGTGTAGGATCTTCCAGATCAGTCAGAAAAACAGTATAGAGTAACAGCTCTAGTGACCACTGTATGGGCTACAATATAAAGGTAGCACGTGACAGGAGGCAATTAGCAGCTTGAAGTGAGTGCCTGTTCTAAGGTCCATATCATCTTTCAGTGATGTCACTCTGTGGCAAAAGAGTTCACAGCTTTCTTTAGTCTCAGGTTTGTATACATCCCTTCAGCAGTCTAGCATTCACGAAACTCATTAATACCATACTGATAATCATGGGCTGGCAACAGCAGAGTATCAACCAGTGAGCTGCTGAATCTGAAAATTAGAAAAAAGCCTTGGAATTGAACTAGTTGAGCCCTGTTTCTAAGAAACAGATCTAGAGGAGTATTCAAGAAATACCCTTTGGTGAATACTTCTGAAGGGAGATAAGACTGGAGGTAGCCGAAAGTATAGCTACAAGCATTTCATCCATCTGAGCCAACTATGTTTAGTCTCTGCTGGTAGCTTCCCCAGTATGTGGACACACTGAATTGCCTTCCACATCTAGGTTCAGTCAGTTGCCTAAAGGCAAAGAGCACTGCCCCACGGACAAAAACATCAAAGTCCTCAGAATGCCAACGGCTGGCAGGTGCTGGCCTTTTGATAGTGCCAACCACAAATAAGATTCTTCATAAACTGGACTGGGCTGCACCTGCCACCACACGGAAAGGTGAGACTGGGAGGGTGCAGGCAGCATCCACAGCACACCTGGCCTTGGCTAAGCTCTGCACCTGTTTCCAGGCCACTCTATATTTTCCTTTCCCCTCTAAGTCCTTTGTTGGGCTTCTGCGCCCTGTCTAAGTACCTTTCAACAAGTTCTCGGCTCCCAGCTGCTATTTCTGGCTTGGGTCCAAGGCCAAGCTGGGGTGGGGAAGTCCCTCTGGCTTCTTGCCAGAACCTTACCCCAGCAGACCAGCCCTTGGCCAATCACACACGGCTCCTGATTTACAGGGCAGCTGTGCCTTTCACCCTAGCACCAGGACTGCGCCGGCACACACATGAATGAGGAACGGGCATATGATGCACTGTGCCATCAAGCCCTCATGACTCAGAGATGGGAGAGTTATTGCGGCTTTACCGCAGGACGAAGTTCCAAATCATTATCCAAAAAACCCATCTTTTGTTACAGACTAATTTTTAGCCCTGCGGAGAAGAGAAGCTGCATTAGAAATTTGTAGTAGGGAACTTTGTTTCAGCTGACACAAAGACTTCTATCTAAAAGGACATGCAGAGAAAGCAAGGTAAGTAGAAGAAAGTGTAAAAAGCCCCTTGGCGTGAGAACTACACTGGAGAGCTCTAGCAAAGGGTGAGAACCGAGAGAGAGATCCAAGGGTCAACAACATGGCCCAAGGTGTTTCTGTTCAGAGGCACTGAGGAGGAGGGCGAGACCTCAGCTGTGCGTATCTGTAACTGAAAGCAGAAATCCAATGGCAAAAGGTAAACAGGGATGATTCAAAAGCATATTAAATAAGGGCCCAAAAGATAAAACTAGGGTTTCCCTTATGCTTAATCGCCTTTAAATCAATCTCCTTTTAGCTCATAACCACACAATTTCTTACCACTAATGCTGTCCAGCTAAAGTTATATCTAAAGGAAATAAGAAGCATGGTGTAAAGCTGAGCGTGGACTTCAGAGTCTGGCCTGCATTCAGTAGTCTACTGCTTATTAGCTAGGGAATTTTTGACAAGTTATTTAACTTCTCTAAGCCTCTATTTACTTATCTGCAAAAAGAAAAGAATACCACCCACCTTGAAGACTCAGTAATATATGTATGACACCCAATTTAGTGCGAAGGATGCAGTACAGGGTCCAATGAATGAGAATTTCGCTCCCTTTTCCTTAAAAGTGCTGTTCGACTGAAGTTAGAGTTGCAGCAGCCTGAAGCCCTACGTATCTGAACACAGAAGCGATGCTGGGAGAATAGGTGAAAGTTTTGTCTTTTTATACTACTTATCTGGCCCCCAAGCCATTTTAATTAGGAAAAAGCCTCCTTACGGAAATCTGACTGCTCTTCAGGAACAAAATCTGAAGCTAAAAACAACCCTGAGCACCAGCTCCGCTAGGAAGGTATTGCTATTTTGTTCTTCCCTGTCTGTAGCCAGCACTCATGTGTTCAAGGCATAAGGCAGATTCTTCCTTGGGAAGAACTGTTTTCTGAGGCATCACAGGAAAACACCCCTGGACAATCACTTACGCAAAACCCCCCAGGTCAGGTCCCAAATCTTAGAACAGATCCAGAAACTAAAGTTCACTTTCTGGGTGAGCTGAGAACATCTATGTTCCACTGAAAGCAGACCCAAGGCATAAGGAAAAACAAGGACACTTACTGCTCAAAAAACGGTTTTTAATCCATCGGTTTTGCTTCCGGGCATATCTCTTAGTCACTTGTTTCAGAGCCTCAATACCTGAAAGACAAGGTAGATATAAGAACCTACCACTTCTAACCACTTCTCACTCTGCTGAAAGGAAGGCCCATCCAGCCCAGCATTAGAGAAAACTAGCCACGTCAGCACACTGGTGGATACTTGGTAGGTGAAAATCTCAATTCTGAGCTGAAGGCCATTTGGGTCTCTTTCAGCCTCAGCTCCTTCTCAGGCCATAGCAGCAGGACACTCTGTCACCCAAGGATGTCCAAGGCTAGGTTAGATGGAGAATTCACACCTTTCTTTAGGAGCTGGTTTCTAGTCTCTGGTGTGCATTTTCCCTCAGTGATCAGGTACTCGTGAAATTCCTTGAAGCCAATTGATTGGAAGATACCATGTTGATAGTCCTGGCTGGGAACAGGAGAGCATCAGCAGATGAGCCATTGAATCTGAAAGCTAGCAGGCCACTGGAGATGATCTAGCTGAGCCATTTCATCTCATAGATGGGGAAATTGAGATCCTTAGCAGTGACTACCTCTCTGAAATCCTTCCTCCACCTTCCCCCACCAGCTCCCAGGTTACTTCCCTTGAAAATTAACTTCTGGGAATGTCTGAGATTAGAAAATTGCAACTGTAACAAGTACACCAAACCTCCTTCCAACGACGAAGGGCAGCAAACAAGTAGACCCAAAGCCAGTATTATATGTTTACGGTCTTTTGACCGTAAGCAAGGGGTGGAGAGTAGGTGAAAGTAATAGCCCAATTCTCACCTGTTTTCCACAATTTTCTTCTCATTATAGCGTCTGTGAAAATCTCTTAGTTCATCCAAGAGCCCAGCGGCGAGCATGTTATCCACCCTCTTATCCAAGCGCTCATCTAGAACTTGAATCAAATTAACCCATCAACCAGCAAGCCTGCCGAAGGTGTGTACTATACATGATGAATGCATAGGCTGCCATAAAGAAGAGAATTTGTTCAAATGGAAGAAAAGGTTCAGAGTCCAAAGATTATACAATAATGCATAATTATATTTAGTCACACTTAAAACTCTGCAATTCCAATAAAAACAGCCAGAATGAGGCATGTCTTCTTATGTAAAGAGCACACAATTACAGCTACTAGGAACAACAAATATTTTATTCTTGTATGGAATGTATACCCATTGTTTATTTTAGAGGCAGCTGAGAGCCCCGTTTTACTCTTACTTTTTACCATTATATTTGTTACTCTAACTTTATGCTATTTCATACTTAAGAACTCTCAGATGACATCTTAAATAGGAATGAAAAACTTTAAACCAAAGCCATCCTAAGTATATCCTGAACTACTGAGCCAGACAAAGGAGCAAAGAGTGAGAGGTGATAATCATTCCATTGTGGTGGTCAAACACAGCTTTATTATGAATCAGATACCACTGTTTGATGCTGCACTGTAACACATGTTTTTATTTACAAAATGTTCATTATTAAAACATCACCTTTTCTATAACCTTATAATTTAAGTTTGAGATAATATAATTTGAGATTAATTTAACAAATCTCCACCATTTCAATTATGCTCTTCTACGTCTCTGCCATTGCTATTTCTTGGCTTACAATGATAATAACCTTTTTTTCTACCTTCCTAGAAAGTTTGCATTTATTGAGGACTCACCACGTGCCAGGCACATTCTGAGCACTTTGCATGTATTATTAATTCATCTAATCCTCAACGAAGCTATGAGATATGTATCGTTATTATCACCCCCATTTTATAGAAGAGAAAATTGGGACACAGAAAGGTAAACCAACTTGCCTTAAAACTCACATAGCCAGAGACGATGGAGCAGGAATTTGAATCCAGACAGTCTGGCTCAGAGACATGTTCTTAATCACTAAACTATACCGCCTGTTCCCATAACGATCTCATTTTTCTAGACCTAGCTCATAAGTTACCTTTACAAACTGGACCCCAGAAAATGCTCATCATCCCTTCTCTGTGGTCCCACAGCACCTTCTAGCCCAGCGTTTATCACAACAGCGTATCTACCTCGTTATTTGTTGCCCCACTACACCGGAAGCTCCTTAAGGGCAGGTACTGTCTACATTCATCTCTGAAATGCAAGTACCACGTAGAACACTTGGCACTTCATTGAATGCTTGCTGTTATATTTGTTGCATAAAGAAGTTACTATTATCACAGGGCGTTAGCAAAAACCAAAAAGAAACACTATCAGTTAGCTAGCTAACCATCATTCCCACTTCTCAGGCCTACTGATTCCAAAATAATCAGTGATCCACGCTTTAGCCAATCCAGAGAGTCAGACCTCCTTCCACAGGAGACTTCCTTCTCTTTCTTCTTTGGATTCTCTCTGGATGGCAGTCTCTTTCCCATCCCATCTTATCTCATCCTCATCTTATACTAATCTTTTTTTTTTCTTTCCTGCGGTACACGGGCCTCTCACTGTTGTGGCCTCTCCCGTTGCGGAGCACAGGCTCCGGACGTGCAGGCTCAGCGGCCATGGCTCACGGGCCCATCCGCTCCGCGGCACGTGGGATCTTCCCAGACCGGGGCACGAACCCGTGTCCCCTGCATCAGCAGGCGGACTCTCAACCACTGCGCCACCAGGGAAGACCTATACTAATCTTATACTCATCTCATGTTATACTAATGCCAGGGCTACCTTTACCTGCTTTCCAGAAAGATAATGGCACTGTGTCTTACTAAGTCAATGAATAATGATCATGATAATGAAATGAATAGCTAACACTTGTTTAGTGCTTATTATGAGCCACTCATAGTTCTAAAGCATTTTTTTTCAAAACAACTTTTTACTGAAGTATAGTTGATTTACTCTAAAGATTTTATATACAGTAATGTATTACTATAAGCTCTGTCTCAGATTAACTCTAGGACACCAAAGGACTTTTACCTGTCTGTTCAGCATGAAGCCAGAGGATGCACGGGTTAGGGAACTTCAGAGGGCCTCCAAGGGGACCACCACCTTCCTCTGCATGTTGACGATGAAGAAATTCACTATGAGAGATTCCTGTCTCTTCAAACACTTGCAAGCTCCTAGGTCATTTGAAAGGGGAGGGTGGGCACACCCATAACAACCATTAGGAAATATTAATTCTCAAGTGAAACAGGGGAGAGGCTATTTATTACAGAATACCTCACTGTCATTTTCACTGCATAAGCCCCTGAACACATGAAGGTCTGGGGTTACTGCAAACCTATAGCTACTCAGAAAAGCGTTCTAAAGAAAACTTTAGGTAAAGAAAGAAATAAAACTATTCGAAACATATAAAAAATTTTCTGAAATCAGTTAAACAGGTTCAGAAACAACAGGTTTCTACTACACAAAGAGAACAGGACATATTCACTTTCAGGTAAGCAGTAAAAGCTTGTCTGGGACACCTTGCTATAAGCCAACAAGTCTAGTCTCGCTGGAATGCCTTTCCCACAGTACCAAAGTATGCTGTATATCCAGCTCATCAACTTTCTTTTTAAATATGTCTAAAATTAATGAAAAATGCTTCTGACTAATTCAGTACTCTACTAGCACAAAGATCACTGAAGAAAGAACTACACACTTATTCTTAAGCCACTATCCACTCTGTCAGCATCTATTATGTTATGCAGCACTAGGTAATTTAACTCTCAAATCTATACTCTACCACTCTGGGTGATTGCAACTTATCAGCCTGAAAGTGATCTTTCCCTTCCTGATCCAATTCTACTTCCTGAAACCCTAACACAAGAGTAGAGACCCCTCATCTTTCCCTATCACTGGTCACTCAGAGAGGACCTAAGAGGGAAAAATGTAATAGATATCTTACTTATCTGGAGGCTAGAATACAGACTCAAACTAAAAGAAAGATGAAAGAAGTCCTCCAATCTTCTTTTAGAGACTCTAGAGCTCTTGCTTAGAACCTACTGTTCTTACGAAAACACATTCTCAACTCATTACTAGTTCAGTAGTCGCAAAATAAGGAGAAATGATAAGAACTGATTAATAAAAGGAGCAGAGAGTAACAACCAAGCTCTAGACTCATACCATAAAACAATACAAAAATGAATGTTCGTCAGAGTGTCCCTGAGTTTTCCAAGAAGTTTTTGGAAGATTTCTATTTAAATGTTTAAAAATAAAATGTTTGGATACTGGAAAGTATAAACTTCATTTATCTAGAATATGCATTATCAACAGGGTGATATTGCCCTCAAGGGAACAAAACAACCTTAGATATTACAATGATGTGTGGCGCTCTCCCAAAATCTTATTCTTCAGTATTAAAATTTCATGGAGGGGAGGAAGGGAAGCACAATTAGGAAAAAAATTTCTAAAAAGGCTTCAGGGGCAGGGGGGATAATAGAAAAGGATTAAGAAACACTGATCTAGAATACTCACTTGAGTGTAACACTTCATAACCCCTGTCAATACCAAATGGTGCTATAAATATCTAATGTGTATAACCATCCATATAGTAGGTCCTCTACTCTGCCAGATAAGGTACTGCTTCAGGCACTACAGAAAAGTACACCTAAGTGGTGATCACTCTGTAATGTATAGAAATATCAAATCACTATGTTGTGCACTAGGAATCAACATAGTATTCTAGATCAATTACACTTCAAAACAAACAAACTCATAGAAAAAGAAATCAGATGTGTGGTTACCAGAGGCTGGGGGTGGGGGAAGGGGGAACTGGATGAAGGCAGTCAAAAGGTACAAACTTCCAGTTACAAGATAAATAAGTACTAGGTATGTAATGTACAACATGATAAATATAACTAACACTGCTGTATACTATACATGAAAGTTAAGAGTGAGGCCTGAGAGTTCTCATAACAAGAAAAAATCTTTTTCTTTTATTTTGTGTCTATGTAAGTACACTAAACTTATTGTGGTAATAACTTACATGATATACATAAGGAAAATCATTATGCTATACACCTTAAACTTACACAGTGCTGTATGTCAATTATATCTCAATAAAACTGGAAGGAAAAAATAGATAAAACGACTGATAAAATGAAGATGCAGTCAGAAGTGAACAGAATATGGAGCCAATGAAGATGCATATTTATGGAGGAAAAAATAAACCATCTAATCTTAGGAAGGAAGGGAGGGAGGGAGGGATGGAAGGAAGGGAAGGAGGGACGGAGGGAGGGAGAGAGGGAAGGA